TTGCTTGGTTGCTTGGTTGCTTGGTTGCTTGGTTGCTTGGTTGCTTGGTTGCTTGGTTGGTTGGTTGGTTGGTTGGTTGGTTGGTTGGTTGTGTGCTTGTGTGTGTGGGTTTGTGTGCGTTTGTGCGTGTGTGTGGAGGGGGCTCAAACATTTTGAAGGACACGTTGTCAAAAGAAAGATGCACCGAGCATCCTTGCGAGCTACTCCGCGTTTGTGAGTGAGGAAACCATCACATGCTGTGTTGGAGCTGATTCTCTGATAACTTTCTTACCACAGGAGGTTGGTATTCACCTTTGCCTCTGGCAGCACAACTCCATCTTCAATGAACATTGATTTCTTTTTCGAGCAAACACTTTCTATACAGTGGTTTCAGAGTAGATGGCACAATCACCAAGAGATGGTTTATATGGACCCCCATGTAAAGGACATCTTGAGGTCTGTGCCATCTACTCTGAAACCACTCTTCCAAACAACGGCTTTTTTGCCGTCTGAGAGACGGGAGAGCCCTGAACAGGAAGAGAACTCCCTGCAGTTCTCACCTGTCCGAGGAAGAGAACATGCACCTGTCCAAGGGAACCGATGTCGTGAGATTGAAAGTAGTTGGATTGGAGTGGATTCTGTAGAGCACTCGCGCACCTTGGTGTTTGTGCCCAAAACTGGAGCAGTCTAAGAAACATCGAATCTTCGCACGACTGGTTACGAACCTGAGAAAGAAACATGTCACATGTTGAAGATGTTCTCCCCGATGACTGTTGTCTTTGTTCAGCGCATGCATATCGTCTCCATACAGCACATCATCTCCCGAAAGGAAGTTGAAACATTCTAATTACAATTTCCAAACTGGTCAAATCAGCATCTTGGAACACTGGTCATTTCAGCTCAAGATTATTCGATTACAGTATTAGACACTGTGACAGAAGTGATTGCACAGCCCAAGACAGTCTTGACGTCTCCAGCTTGGAGTTTGCATCGATCAATACACTTAGAACAGTTGAGCTGTTCAGGTTCGTTCTGAAGAAAAGTCTGAGAATCCCAACCCTCCAAATTGGTGTGGTGTCGTTTCTTGGGCCAGAAGTCCTCAACATTCTCGAGTCTCGAGCAGAGTCTATACAGTATAACGTGCCACCACACAGAAGCTTGGCAACATACACTGGCCACGACAAGCAACAACAGGAATGTCACTTGTGCCAGCCACTACCAGCCGACTGGCTTGATGAGGTAAAGACTTTCTCAAGACTTTGACAGCTCCAAATCGGTGATGGTTCTCCAAGTCCCAAACACGAGCCCTGTTCCATCATTGGTCTGGGCTGGCCCAAAGGTTTTGACCCAAAACCGTGTTAGGCCAAACAAGAACAGTATGGGGACTTTTTAATGCATTATTTTGGCTATATACAGGTATCAATTCTTAACCACCACTAATGCTAGAGACTCTGGCAGAACTTTTGGTACCCACGAGCCCGGACACGGCGCTTTCTTAGCAATTGCGTCGCTGCGGTTGCCGGGCAATCAGCGATGGTGCGTCCTCCGGCATTCTTCGCGACGACTCTCTTGCTTGAGGGGGTGACATTGGAGATTTCCCAGATTTTTTCACTTCTTATTAGGACCCTGGAAGACTGATATCGCTGCCTAGAAGACCAGCAAGCTGTGACGTGTTGGGGGACTCAAGAAACAATCGTTTTTTGCGAACGGATCGGCCATGTTCCATTGGAAGATCTGAAAGACTTCCCTGAGGAAACTCCTGAACTTCAGCAGCAGGGCGACGATGAGACCCCCAAAGAAAACTTGTTCAGGATGATAATCAGCATGGTCCATTCATGCACGGTCCATGCTTGCTTGGTTGGCTTAAAAGGTCTCCCCGGCCTCAAACATGTCCCAACTCGTGGAGCATCTTCCAAGTGGGGAAGAAGCACCCTCGGCCCCTTCGGAACCCTCCGACAGGAACCCGAAGGCCCCACGGATCCGTGGTCGTTCGGGTGCGGATCCGTGGTTCTTCCACTTAGGGAGCGGTTGCGGCTGCGGGTCCTAGACCGTAGACCGGGGGAGTTGCGGAGTTGCGGTTGCCGGGGGGCACATGTCCATGCGAAGGTTCTTTCAAGCGGTTGAAGTGCAGTTCTTTGGTGGGGTCACCTCAGCCACGAACCTAACATAAGGGTGTTCTAAGGATGGTGTTTTGTACCAAGACCACAGCTCAAGGGTTCAGTTTCAGATCAACGAACCCAGCCTGGGCCGCGACTTGGCTCAAGCTTTAAAGAAGAAGGCAGTATCCTTCGACTTGCTTTCACATGGAATGGATATGGATGGCATGGCCCCCCAAAAGAGAAAGCAGGAGTAAGTTCTGAACATGCATATGGGGGGTCGGATCTCACTACACTATAGAAAGGAACTTCAGACATGTGATTACAACTGGATCATCTTCTCGATAAAACGGAATCATACCATGCAACTATATGCACAGATGTTGATTGATTGTACAACATGTAGATCACTCCAAATTGTGCCCGTGCCAATACTCAGTTGCGGACAATGCGGACTTGGAGAAGCCTGATACTCCTCAAATATCCGAACACCGCTGATGAACAGCGTGTGCCGTGTGCAGAAGACCTATCAAGCTACAAAGTGTGCATGCATGTTTTAATGCAACATGCAGCAACCATTGGTGGTTGATGATTGAGCAGATCATCACATACTCGCATCATCCCTTGAAAGCAAACTTTGAGAGAAGCCTCGCATGGTCAATGGCGGTTTGTCAACAGGATGCTGAAACCTCCGATCCTGAGCGGACGGCTTTGTCACAGACTCCAAAATGGTTCTTTCACACATATAGCAGTAGGTCTTGGGCGTATCGGCTATCGGTTTTAGCCCGTGGTGCCGTGGTGAAAGCAGTGCCGTGGTGCCGTGGTTATAGTGATTGGTTCTATGTGATGAGGCGACCCAGAGAAAACCCAGCCACAAGCCAACCTGTGGAGTAATATATATATATATATATAGGATGCGCCCACCGGATGAGTGCTTGCCCTTGCGGGTCCGTGCGGCCAATGTCTTGAAGTTGCCCTTCGAGCCTGGACACCCAGCAACCGGCGTCCGCCCGCGCCTCGGCCGCGCCGCTCGGAACCCGGGCGCCGCCCGGGAAGCCAATGGCGGAACCCCGACCTGGTTGGCAAAGCCAACCGATCGAGCGATGCAAGGGTCTCCATTGGATTTCTCGTTCGGGGCCGCTAGGGGCCCAGACTCTTTTTGAGGGACTTTTGGGGATTTTGTGCTCAGTTGGTGCATGCCACTTCCAGCTTCCAAATACAAACTCGTTGTCCTTTTACAGAGGGTGTCTCATGATCGCAGAGCTCTTCCACCACTTCGTTTGACCGTCCTCGGTCCTGCGAAACGGTGTGACCCTCAAGGAGCAGTGGTTTTCCGACCGACCAGTTGTTGTTCGTTGACAGCCAGCTTTCTGCCGTCTTCGGCGACTGACTGGCGCACCGGAGGTTCGCGGCCTGCTGGGCTGCCGAGCTGGTGACGGTGGCTTTGCTGGGCCTCGAGGTGTCTGACTCGCCACCGAAAGGCTGCACCGGGGGCCAGGCGCAGCTGGCTGCGCAGCCGCCTGGGAAGAGCGACCGGAAGAGATCACCTTTCGCCCAGCCCAGGGACCAGAGGGGCACCTGCCTGGTTTGGGGATGGTTTTGGGATGTTTTGGGTACGTACATCAAAAAGGGTAGACCTGGAAATCAGGTTTGACAAGCCCAGTGATTCAGTTTTGCGAGGTATACCAATCACTGGCTTTGGTTGAGGCTGAGGGAAGTTGTGTATTTAAATGTATTTAATCATATTCAATCCAAAGTTTTCCAATAAAACCCAAGCTTTCTGAGGCTTTCGTCGAGAAATACACGATGTTCGTTGATAGATAGTGTCAGGATCTATGACATGAGCCGATGGAGTCAAACCCTGGAGCCCCATGGCCATGACAGGTTGATCTCCCGCAGTGCGATCTGTTAGTCAACCAGCCAGGGCTTTCCAAGTTCCATGGCCGATATGATACCTTATGGTACCTTCACGTCATTTCACATTGGAAAAATATGGTTTGGATTCTGGATCCCCGCGCCAGCTGGTCAACAAAAAGCACCTTAAACAGCCTATCGAGGAGCAGCACGAACAGCCTACGCCACCCGGATAGCTTGGTTCGGCGCTCACACAGGTGCCCCGAACTGAGCCCTTGTGGGCATTTTGCTTAGCCTTGAGGTGTGAGCCTTAATTGGATGGGCTTGAGCCAGCTTGATTTTGAGAACTCCCTGTAATCTCCCTTTGGGCAGTAGGCAACTCTAAATTAACAGCACATCTAAATCCAGCAGATATATATATTTATATCAATGTTTCTCTAGGCAACAAAAACACATCCAAATTTTTGTGTAGTACCAAGAAAATCATCAACGTCCTCTAGCCCTCTAGCTTCCGCCGGCAGCTTCTCCCAGCCCAGGCCGTTTCTGCCAGCCTTTCAGCAGTCGATCGCAGAACAGGCAGAAGGATAAGTGGCGTCGAGACGCCAATGGGATTTGACAAGCCACCCACATGTCGTCTTTTTGCTGAGCTCCTCCCTTTCCTGAGCATCCAACCATTGAAGAGGGTATTTAATTAATCTTTAATGATTTTTGTAACATGGTGGATTGGAATGCATATTTTACAACCTGTGAACATTAAACTAAGTTAAGTCGCAGCCTCTACCCGGCGGCACTGTCCTGGCGACCCTGGCGGTACCAGCCAGGCGAAATCCGGCCGCGAAAGCTTTTGGGCACACTACGATGCACAGGCCGATGGATTGATGAAAACCATATCGCAGACCATGGGACTTACATTATTTACCTCCATTGACCCCTTTAAAAAGGCCCACCCCAATGTATGCAAACATGACATTGAAGTGTGTTTATTTTTTTAAGCGGAAGCCACGGACGATGGAGTCGTTCAGCTGTTAGAGTTTGTGTTAGGAGTTGTGTCAAGAAATGGTTTTCTGTGCTTCATGAGTGCATGTCAAAAGTCACGATTTCAGGAGTTCAATGGAGTTCAGGAGCCATTTGTATAGTTTGTGGTGTTATTTATTGTAGCGCTCACACGCCTGAAATCTCTTCCAGCGCCGCCAGTTGCCAGACAAGCCAACAACCGTTTTTTAGGCTGCTTGCTGATCTTCCGCCATGGGGTGGGGCAATGGCAAGGGTGGCTATGGTTGGGGCTATCCGCCAATGATGATGATGATGCCCTGGGGCAAGGGCAAGGGCAAGGCAAGTCCGCTCATGCATGATGTGGATATAATGTGTCTACTACATTCTACTATACGTGTTTGTTTGTGTGTGCTTATGTTCTTTTACTTGACGAGTTTGTGGCCTTGGCAGGGCCTACGTGGCTTTGCGAACGAGAAGAAGGTGTGGATTGGAGGTTTGCCTGCCGGGCCCACCAGCATTGAGACCAACAAGAAGCTCAAGGAGCACATGTCCCAGGTTTGAGCCTCAGTCGGATCGATGCAATCAACGAGAAACTAACAGTTGCAAACAGTTGCAGAAATCAACGAGAATGGTTTGAATCATACCCCTGTAGTGTATCACAATTCTTTTTTGGGGCCAAGAGAGTTTACTGTGTGCTTACTTCCTTGGCCGCCTTGGCCTTCGCATTGGGTTCATATTCGTGAGTGGTTCGCGGTTGAGCGGAGGCTGGTGAATGCATTTTTGCGGAGATCAACAAGAACGGCATCGCAGGTGCTGCATTCAAGACACCGGAAGAGGTGCAGAAAGCTGTGGAAAGCCTCAATGGTTCCATCTTCGAAGGCCACACCCTTGAAGTTGACATTTGGCAAAAGAAGACTCCTGAGACTGCACAGAGCTAGTCACGGAGGGACAGAGCAGAGCAGCAAGGCTGGCGACAGAGCATGGAGATAAAGGGAAGATTACACATGAATCAGGATTAATGATGCGCCAAGCTTTTGCTGGTCTAGTGAGTACTTTAGCCTGTGCGATTTTGGCCGATAAAAGAAGTCCTTTGCCTGTGCGATGTGAGTCCTGCTCTTGGCATGTGTTGAGCTATTGGTTTGTTCAGCGTAGCAGCCATCTTGCCGAGACTTGGCAGATTCTGCAAGCAAGCAGAAACCACCACAGCCCGCGGGACACCTTTCATACTCGTAGCTCCTCTTCGGATGATACGAGCGACTCTTGTGGTCGTTACCCTCAGAAAGGCTTATTAAGGATACTTAAGGTATCTCAAGGTGAATATATATATATATATAGTAGTAGCATCGCTATACTAGTAGCAAGTGCATCGCTAATTACTAGTAACCAGTATAAATATAATATCTAGGTGAATCTGAAGTAAGAACACAATCTACAGCAGCTCTCGCGGCTCGCGATCAAAAGCGATAAGATTCGGGCGATTCGGTCGACCAGCTAGGCGAAAGATGCGGTCCAGCTGACCCGCCAGGCGGGTGCGGTCCCGCTGAAGGATCGGAGCCGGGACAAACGATTCCATAGGTTGGAGGCCATCGCTTCCATACAGGTTGGAGGCCATCGCTCTTATGTCGAATTTACACTCTGGAAAACTAACATGGACCGGGGTCGAATGGCACCCTGAGTCCGACTGTCTCCTCTAGCTGCACCGGTGGTTTCAGGGTCCACGTTAGCTGTCCACGGGGTATATACAGTTTTTTTGGGGATGAAGTTGAATAGATCCCTGTAAGATATAATGTTGGATCCTGATTAATAAAAGGATCCTCTATAATGCTCATTTTTTCAAAAATACGTCTGAACCCCATGTTTGTTTTAAGGTTCCTCTATTATGCTAAGTTTTTGGAGGATCCTATTTTGTTGTTATCTGAACAATTAGTAATAGTTAGGGTTCTAAATCCTTCAGAGAACAGTGAATACTACTAAGCCAATGACTGGCTTACTGAGATGAGATTATTGATAAGTATAGGTGTCTCTAGTTCTTCTTCAAAACTGATAGCTTCCCAAAGCCATCAATTCCTTAATCAATCCTTTATGTAAAGATTGCTCCTAAACAAATGTTCAAGGTAGTAGACCAAGGCCCCTGATCCTCAATATTCATATCAGAGCCTTTCATGTGGTAAGGCGAGGACAGCCTGGTGTCAAAAAAACAAATCAGAAAAGAAGAACACAAGTCAAATGCAATACACAAAAACACAAAATACAGTAGTCAAAGTCAAAAACAAACGGAAAAGTAAAAAAGACAAGTCGGACAAAACGTCAACAAAAAGGTTTAAAAAACAAAAAAGCATACATCTTTAGAACACAACTCAAAAAAATCAAAATATTGTCAAGCAACAGTGAAAAAAAAACGGCCCTAGGCCAATTGACCTTTGTTTGTTTTTTCTTTCTGAAACTGTCTGATTTGACTTTGACTTTGATTTTTGGCACCGACTACTATATATGTTGATTTATTTTGATATTTTGTGTAAATCTTTGAAAACAGGCTCTCTCCAATGAATGATGTTTATAACAACAATAACATTGTTCTTGGGGTCCTCAATTGTGCAAAGTTGTTTCTCAGTTAAAAAAACATATTACAATCTTAATAAAGACTTAATACTACTAAGCCAATGGCTGGCTTGCTGAGAGTATTGATCAGTATATATAGGTTTCTCTAGTTCTTCCTTAAAGCCGCAGAGAACCTTCTTTGTACTCTTCTTGGTAGTGTAAAAGGATTGCTCAGAATATCTACAAAGAACCTGAGAACTGAGAACGGAAAATGCATAAAAATAATATGAATTTCAAAAAGGAATTAATACTACAGTCAATTACAGAAGGACTCCTTCCAGCAACCGCAACGTCAACAGCATAGCACAACGTAGCATCCAACCCAGTGTGCAACGTCACAGGAACGTCAACATGCCCCCCCCCACCCCAACCCCCCCCCCGGGGGGCATGTTGACGTTCCTGTGACGTTGCATATGTATGTATAATTCTGTGCATGTAAGAACAAGAATGTGATGTAGTGGTTGCGTTGCTGGCAATGGCGCTATGAAAACAAAACCGCTAGGCTGTTCACAGTGACAGCCTCCACGTTGCGTGCACACTGAGCTGGACCGATCGACTTTGTGAAAAGGTTCCGATCGAATCGGTAAACATATGTGTTTTCTCAGGTTTTTTCGTGTTTCAAGCGAATTTTGGTCCAAGTTTTGGACACGGAATTTCCGATTTACAAGAGGTTCCAAACCCTCTTTTCCATTGTTTTTTGCAGTGGATTTGCAACACCTCTGAAGTTGGCGTGCTAAAACGCACGCGCGGTTTTAGATCCGCCGGGTAGTTTATTATAGAGGACCTCCCTTTTGTTTAGAGGAGGGCGGGATTCTTTTTTTCTCTTTTACTAATCAGGATCCTACACTATATATATATATAATACACACATCGTTTTGTAATGCTATCGCTTCACAGCCTTCACCAGCCAGAGTACCACAATCCAAAAAGAGGCCGTTTCGCCTTGGAGTGGGACGGGAAATCTGGTTCTGAGTGGATGTTCCGCCTCTCTTGAACTGGCGCTCGCGCAACCTCACGGAACATGGTGGCCGTTGACGGCAGCCAAGCCTTAATAAACTAAGGTATACATATGTTCACAATGAGCATCCGACTTCAAGCCAGTCACTTGTGGGGAAAACCACATCTTCGAGTTGCTTTTGCTCTCCAGCTGCGCTGCTTCGCTTCACTGCTTCGCCACTGGAGCCAGGTGGGCCCCCCCACCATGCGCTGGCTCCGGCGATGCTGGCAGCCGCTGAGACACATTCCATGCCACGCTCGGGCGTTGAGGGTCGAACAGCTCCGGTGGTGGTTTAGTCGAATGATGTCAAATGGAACCAGACAGCCTGATGGATACATATAGCTACTTATTGGTGGAACCTCCAATCTCACCCCTGGGTGTTGGGGGGACGGCCCTGAGTGAAAACCACAGGTGTGTTGATGCAAATGGTCCAATGTCAAGGTCTTGGTGTATGATGTTAATTATGAGTCGCAGTTGGTAAAAGCTATCACTTTTACTAACCATCATCATCGATCAGACATACTCATATATAAATATATACATACACTGTACATATAGCCTTGGTTGTATGGTTTAAAATTAGAGGGGCCCACAGGTGTAGGAGTACAGCTGGACAGGTTTTGAGACTTTTGTTGATGACTTGTGGCCTCTTCGACTTCTCATCTTCGCTAGTGGCATGCCAAAAGATCCATGAGGCACTGTATCATTGGGCCAGTGTCACTCAAAATCCTCAGCTTGAGAGGGTTGGGGGTTGGGGTACACATCTCAGTTGCTTTGCCATAGCCAACTGCATGAAGTTGTAGGGTCTAGAAGTGGGTCGATGGCTGCTTGTATGAATGGTACACATGACAGTGGTAGCTGGTGACTTCCTGTCTCATGGGTTCGCCTGTCATTGGACTCCGCTTGTTCGCTCATAAAAAGGATTGAGCCATTGATCACAACAGAGAGCTCCAGGAGGGAAAGTTGAGGGAATGCATCCTGTGTACATGCTGATATCTTCCGAAGAGTTTAAGCATGTTGGTTTTCCGGGGTTATTCAACAGCTGTTGACAAGGGTTCAAGCTTGAATTACATGATTCTCGTACAAACCGAGGAGAGTCCATCACAAAAGCCCTAGTAGAATGATGTAGAAGCCCTTGGTGAGGCCCAACAACAGAAAAAAAGTATTAAGCCCACCAAGCTGCACAGCTGTTGGTGAGGCCCTTTGTGCCGTGTGCATGTGTGCATATGCGTGCATTTTGGTTCACGTCTGAGGCGTGTCTTGAAAGCGGACTGGCAAAGCACTCGCCAGTGGCCGGGCGACCTCACACGGGCGCTGTGCACAGCTGTGAACAGTATGTAGTGTCCAATCCATTGGATCGGGTCATTTCTGGTTAAACGGATAAACGGACAGATATTAATACAGAATGTGATATATGGTCAACAAAGTCCTCAAGGCCCTAGGTACCACTTATGAGGTCATTCTCCCCGCATTATTGCTGATGTGTTCTCATTCTTTCATTTCTAATTGAAGCCCTTTCATGATTATATGATAAGGGAGTCAATAGGATTGAAAAGACCTGAAATGAACTCCCAAAGTAAAGACAACAAAGGCAGGACATGCTCCGGAGACAGAGAATCACATTGATCATTGGGTAGTTGTGAATTTGGGATACAGGTGTATACTTGTAAATGAAAACCCGGCTGGGGAGGCTTACGTACATTTGTAAGTTCGTGAATGTTTTTTCTCACTAAAGTGTTCTGTTTGTTGTGTCCTTTTGATGGAGAATTTCATAAGGGCCATGGATGATTCCTGAACCTGTGTAGAGTTTTTGAACGACAGCTTCTTCCAAGTGCCAGAAAAAAAGCATCAAAGGAAATCACATGTCAAAAGAACAGACAATAAATAAACTATGTACTGTAAACAATAAATAAATCTATCTATCTATATATATATTTAACACAAAACAAAACACAATGAAACAACTACAATAATAAGGACATCCAAAGAACAGAAAACACAATAAAACATCCAAATAAAGTAATAGACACATACCATATACAAGGACATTCAAATTTTCCAAGACAACAAAGAAGACCGGAAAGAAACGACAGCAAAGACAAGAAGACAACAGTTAACATATCAGGATTCATCCCACCTACGCTTCGCCCCGTGGAGAACTCGCGGCGTTCGCCGCCCTTCGCCAAGAGTTTTCAAGAAGCCTCTAGCCCACGTGAAGTCCAACTTCGGATCTGGGATGAATCGGTCCAACTCGGTCCAACTACCTCAGTGTTGAGTAACGATGTTCGCTACTAGGAACAAGTGCATCGCTACTAGTAACAAGTGCCTTACTACTGTCAACAAGAGGCTACTACTAATTTGATTATAATCAAATTAAAAGGTATTTTTGTTATAGTGTTGTCATCCATACAGATGTCCTCTCACCCCGTTGGAAGACTTCCTGTGCGGCCAGGCTCAGCGAAGGTCACTTGGCGAAAGCGGAAGGAATGCTGCAGATCTTTGGGCATGGGACAGACAGACATTTGCAGTGTAGGTGGTGATCCACGAGAGTGGCGCAACTCCTTGGATGCTGTTCTAGGTTGCGGTTTTCGAGTAATGGATTCTAAACCTTTGGCTTCCTGAAACAGGCGGACAAACCTGCGTTCAGTTTGAACGGACTGGCCTTTGCCAAACCGCTGGCCCGGTGTGGAGTGCACCCCGAGACATGCCATGGTTCTGCCCAAGTACTAGAGTGTCGAGGCGTTTGAGGCTAACCCACTTGGTGCAAGTGGATGACACTGGGACAACGCGCTAATGTATGCTAATGTGCTCACTGAGCGCCTGGGGACAAATGTGTGCTTTCAGGGACCTGGCCTTCGCAGGGTGTTCAGAGCACACACGTCTTGGTCTCTCCAATGCATGAGTGATCTAGATCTTGCTTCACAATGGAGCCAGGTTCCCAGTGACTCATGTGGCTGTAGTTCAAAACCTCCACCAAACCCATTGTAATGCCATTGCTTCGGTCGCCTTGGATCGGCACACGGACCGGATCCGCGAGAAAGGCGACCGGACGAGACCCGGCGAGCTGCGATCGAGACCCGTTTGTAGAGAGGTTAAGTGACCTGAACTAGGACCCTATAGGGGTACCCAACTGGGATAGTCTATAAGGTCCTTCAACCTCTGTTGTAGAAAATCATCTTCCAGGAGTCACAAAAAGGAGTGGATTGGTTCGTCCCATCCGCCGTGGATGTGGATGTGATGTAATGTCCCGACTTGAAAACCCCGTCCCCTTCGTTCTCCCTGACGTGGTGACTGGTTCCAAAGGTTGGTTTTCAGGTTCCATTTGGGTCTCCTCTCACCCGAACCGTGCACCAAGGCTGCCGGTGCCTCATGCGCCTGGCGCGGCTCTTGTCCTCCCTGAGACCCGGTGCCCGAAAGGTCCGAGCACCGGGAATTAGGAGGAAAGTCGAGAATTTCCAGGAAGGCAAGATGTTCAGTCTAAATCTAGCAACCACTGAGGCACTATGCTACACATATATATATAGAGAGAGAGAATGATGTGTATATTTACATACAATATCATACAATACTGCTGATATTCAATTGACGCGTTTGCCTTCCTGGACAGTCTTCGGATTCATCCCAAACTGTCTGGGACTGTTCGCTGCAAGCTGCTCTTCGCTCTACGAATCCTCGAAATTCACGCAACGACAACCTAACAACCTACCCAGACCATCCAATGTATGACCTAGATTGGGTGGTTTAAAAGGGCTCAATGTCCGAAATTTAGCCCACTGAGTAGATGTTTGATTTCTTTGCATGCACAGCAGGAGCTGTCGAATTGCCCAGAATTAGTTTGAGGTGAGTGATCAAACCAGGTCGAACCGGTTTGCCATGGGATTGGATGTCCAGGCTTTGCAAAGCCAGCTGGAACACCTGGGCCGTGAGTGTGAGGAGGTGAAGGAGATCTTTAAGGCTCAGCCAAGAGAGAGGAGCTCTAGGCATCGCTACTAGTAGCTAGAAGCTGCGAACGTAGCTGCTGGCATTACTGCTAGGAACAAGAAGCTACGAACGTAACAAGGGCATCGCTTCTAGTAGCTTCTTGCTACTGGTAGTAATGCCCTTGTTATATCAATGCACTTGCTACTAGCAGCTTCTTCCAAAATTTATCGACAGGACGGTTCGCACACATGCTGAGGTCAGTGAGACCATTTGGGGGTCGTAGAGGCCTTGTCCCTCCAACACACTTTAAGTATAGTCTAGTCAATTGTTTCAATCAGGAATGGCGACCACCGACCAGACCACTATTTCAATTAGACGCACTCCTGAGGATAACATGGGCTCTGTGCATGAAGTGCATGATGCATGTGTTCAGAGCCCGAGAGAGTGCGTTCCTTTGAACATCATCCTGTTTCAGCTCGCAGCTCATTCGTCGCATGGATGTCATGGATTCGTCATCTTGGATGCTTGGATGAAATGGCAGTCCTAGAGCCAGGAGGAGTTGACAAAGTCAAACATAAAGCAACAGTTATATGATTTCTCTCCTTCAAGGTACGTAAATAATAGGACTACGTAGTCTTCGTCATGATCATCACACGTCATTTTCCTCCTCGTCCTCGTCCTGGTGCTCCTCTTTCTCATTCTCCCCTGCTCATCCACTCATTCCTTTCTTGCGCCCTCGTGACAGGCTGGGAAGCTGGAGGAAGCCGAGGACCGGTACCAGCAGTTGCTGAGCCGTGTTCAGGCCTTGACCTCCGAGGCCGGTCGTGCTTTTGACTGAACTTCTGCAGTGCTTTAGTCTAAGGAATGATGGAAGGAACATCCGGACACATCAATGTCAATGGGGCAGCTTGAGCCATCTAATCTTATTCCCTCATTCCGATCAGTAAGCCTCACTAGCATCCACGGCTTCGAAGTGGGTAAGACCCATCACACTGCCTGGCTCAAGGCTGACTTTTCTCCGACCAAGTGGATGGGGCCGCGTATGTCATCCAAAGCACCATGTTGCAGACATCTTGTACAGTGGAACATGATCAACACACATGTTCATCTTTGCTGCGCTGCCAACAGGTTCTGAAATTTGTCCACAGATGAGAGAGTGGCTAGAAGTATATAACACTAGACTCTAGACCATATGATCTAGCACATCACACTTCATTTCACCACTTGCGGCCATGATCAGCCCTTCAGACTCAGAGCAAGCGGAGAAGGAGCAGAAATGGCTTTGGACGTGGCACCAGCAGAAGCTGCAGAAGGAGAAACTCTTTGGCCAGAAGGCACCCCGGTTGGGCAAAAACACGCGCTTGCGCAGATGTGGGAAGGTGTGAGCAGTGAGTCGCACGCCGAAAGCCGGTTCTTCCAGACACCGCATGACACTGCAGGCAGAGAATTTGGTCCTCAGAAAGCTTGAAAAGGACATGACTGACTTCTTTCAAGTGTCTTCTTGGGCATCGCTAGGAGCAAGAAGCTACGAACGTAGCTCCTGGCATTACTAGTAGCAAGAAGCTACATAACAAGGGCATTGCCGCTACTAGTAACATCTAGTAACAAGGATGGCCTACGAGGGCACATCAAGTTTCAGAGAGGTCACCTCAAAGTCCAATCTGGACCCTTCAAAGTGCCCTAGAACATGTGTTCACCAAAAGTGAATTGACAGGTCCATTGAAAAGTTCTGTTTTCTTGCTTCACTGTTTCACTCAATTCGACCTTCCAGATCGAGGTCCATTCGAGGTCCATCCGGATCCCTAGGCGTCCAACCCCTGGATTCGCGATCTTTCTGGACGTCCATATTTCCTGGGGCAGACCACCGGTGACTCGCGGCCAAGGCCGGCCACGATGCGTGGCGTTTCGGAGTGGTGCGACGTGTCGGAGAAGCGACGTGTCGGAGAAACCGCAGTGGAAACCGCAGGTCTGCGAAAGTCTGCGAATATCAATATCTATATATATATATACTATACTCATTTAAACTGTCATCTTGTGTCAGAGATTCACCAGGACCACAATCTCCCCTTTTGACACATAGACCAGAACTCGAGACTGTCCAACGGTGAATGGATCTCTTTGAATGGAGGACTGTCTGCCGGAGGTGTCCAGCTTCTTCCAAGTGAACTTTTTGGAGGACACACTGTGTCCTCAAACCAGGGGATCAAGTTAGGTCACTTGGAAGAACCAGGGTGACTTGGGACAAAGAGAGTGTATGATATATTCTGCTTTGAGATCCCTTGAATCATTCCTTTGCATTACGGTGCCTGGGCGGCAAACCCGCGCAAGCAGGCTAGCCAACGCACGAAGGATGAGAGAACAAACGTCACATCAGTGAGTAGCAAAGCTTTGAGGATCAAGTAGTTACCACATAGAGTGCCTTGAACAAGAACGCTGGACCAACCCCTGGAAGTCCGGCGCCGGACCATCGAAAAGTGCCAGACTGAGGTTCAAGTTGTATAATGTAGTGATATATACACACAGGACACAGTCGTATGACCTCCTTTTGGGTGAGAAAACACATAAATTGTAATTACTTCCTGACAAGATAATCTTGGTGCCCTCGGGCATGGGCTTTTGGCAAAGGATTGTCACAGATCGATGACAGTAGATCCACATGCCAAAGTTGGTGATGATTTCACAACCAGCCGACACCTCGTCAATACCTTAACCTGGAACATTGAAGCAACAAATTCTCGCAAGTCTCGTTCTCACTTCCCACTCCTCCGCACCTTTCCCTTGCTGCCGGTCAGGCACTTGTTGCCGAGCTCGGCCGCGCCTCACATGGCGGTGACACACTTCTGCACCGAACAGCGACGAGCCTTCCAGCTGGAGACCAGCGTGTGTAGCTCCAAATACTCGCCGAGCAAGCCTCGATTCAACAAGAGGCGGCCGCAGCGGTCTTGACGTAGAGGGAGTGCAAGAAAGAACGGCCTAATCATGGGACTAGGAGATTTACCAACACCTACACAAGCCCCTAAAATCCCCTAATGTCGGTAAATACTAATTTAGATTGTTTGGAAATGGGAGTGTCTTGAAACAAAGAGATCCTGTTCGTGCAGACAAAACAGTCCAAGGTCCTCGGAGAATCCAGTGCTGCCAAACCAGAGTGGTGCAGATGTGCCGAAAAGTAGGTGGAGACAGTCTCCCCATTCGACGCGAGAATTCAAAGACAACTATTGAATTCTGAACTCGTCATGTCACTGCGATTTCAAGCGACCCTAGAGCTGAGGCCTTATGAAAAATAAGTGACCGCAGACCTTCAGCAACCAGGGGATCAGTTTCGTTCACGAATGGAAGAATCAGGAACTCTTATTCCACCATGGAAAGCATGGTTTATCAGGGTATAGACACCCCTTTATCTGTGTTTTTTCCGATCTTCTTTGCTTTCCGACCCACCAGGTAGCCGTGAAACGCCAGCACAGCTCGCCGCTCGGCAGCGGTCTTACCGCAGCGCCACAAGGGTGTGTTGCTGTATACATGTGTGTTTGTTTTTGTTCCCGGAATCCATGGTCCACCCCAAACTAACATAATCATGTCGAAACGCCTTGGTGTCTTTACGAAACGTAGAGGGTTACTGTTGACGAAAGATATCCCATGAATCATTTTAAAAGTATATTTTCTGATTCTTTGCGCATGTTCCCACAACGGATTTGTGTACTGTTTTGCGCTTCTTAGGTGTTTTGCGCTTCTTAGGTCCTAGGTGGTGTCACTGTTTCTGTCAACTGTATAGATTCTAGGTTTGCTTTCGACCTTTGAACAAGCCCCTCCTTCTGTGCACCTTGGCACACAGAGAAGGAAGGGAATCAACACGTGGACTGAGGGAGTGTCCCACGATACTCTCGCTTTAATCAATAGCTTCTGAGTTGCACAGAGCACACGGCAAGATACTTTTGTTGGTTCAGTGCCGCTGTCATGTGTTGTAATGCTAATTTGGTGTGTTTCCAAGTTTCAATGGTCCATTCTTGGCAAAAAGAACTGCATAGTGTGGAGAATGTGTTTGACTCAGCATGACAATGTCTCGCTTGCGCTTCGAAGAAGCTGCAGTCGCATTAGTTGTTGCCTTTCCAAAAGGAAACCCTTGAGCAGTTCCCCTGCAATCAATTCCTCAACTTGGAGCCATTCAAAGGGAGTTGATGGTTTAGTCAATGAGAGCCGTGTCAGTTCGCCGCGTGTCAGTTCGCCGCGTGTCAGTTCCCTGGTCCGGGGTGATCCCCCGGTTTATCCCGCCCTGACCCGCACGGTCTGCAGCCCTGCAGGAGTCCTGTCCCCAGTATTCGGTCGTAGCGGTCGCCATGAAAATCGAGGTCCTGTGATCGGAACGAACGAAAGCATACGTCCATGCGGCCATGCCATGCAAAGAACGACATCAATTAAGACACTCGATCTGGGAGTGCAGCATGTGACCAGGATTCTTGACGAGTGTAGAAAGCATGTTCTTGTGGTGGTGCTGCTCATTCAGGCATAGCGACTCTAGTTTGCCAGTCTGGAAAAAGTGGCTTATTTGGGCTTGCGATGGGTCCTGGAGGGTTTGATATGTACCACTTTTTCTCTGGAACAGAGTCCAACCAACACAACAGCACTGACGAATCTGCAGGCTACAAAGTAGTAGCGTTTTCGCTTCCAGCAATCAGCAGTAGCGCAACCTTTCCTTGAACATGTTGTGGCAACGGATCCATACAGGGGGCCCACAGTGATTTTCTCGGCACGAGTGATTTGCCGAGAGACCAAAAAGCCAAGCGTGTCCGTGTCCGCCGACCGGACGAACGACACTGTGGGTACAAGATGCTACAAGTACTGGTAGCCGTATGGTCATAGGCTCTTGCATGCTTCATTTTATGAAGTATGGATGGGCCTACCAAATAGTTGAACTTGAATTCTACATAGACTTATGATACTTATGGGGTATTGTAGGTTGCTCAGCAGGAATCACGGCATTTTGATGATTGGCTGGTTGCAAGGGCTTTTGGACGGATAACGACACTGCCCTAGCCGCTGGCCTTCCAAGTCCGTTAAAACATGATCCCTTTTTTGTAGCCTAAACTACATGATCAAAGAACATGATTTTTTGCAATTTTAGGGTCCGTGCGTCTTTGTCTTTTTCACATGCTTCGCACTCTCACCATACCCGTTTGGTGATCTCCATGGCGCGTGAGTGCATCACCTTTCAGGCGCCCTTCCAAGATGTCCGGAAAGAGGAGGTGCGAATCTGGACGCCGCTCGGCACGAGAACCCGCTCCGCGTCCGGGACAGCCGTCGTGGAAGGCGGAGTCGACCGCGCCAAGCGTGAGAGCAATGCACCACCGGGCCTGGTGATGATAGGGGTCGCAGGGATGGATTTGCATTGAAATGGGGTAGATTGAGTGTGCAAAAGGATGCTTGTCTTCACCTGCAGGTGTATTTCCCTTTTGACACACATGACCCGCCACGAGTCGGACGACCAGTCGAGATAGACGAACACTGAACGCTGTCAGACCATACTGAACTGAACCAAAGTAGCGTGGTGCAGTCGAGCGGTGTTTGGGTTTCAAGATGTGTTTGGAGAGAACACCGAACCAGCGTGGCAAATGGTGGGAGGTACAGTGCTGGAGCGAAGGCTCGCTCCATGTTTGATCCTGATATCGACTCTGGTGTCTCCAGTTCTAAATTCTGATGTCTCCACGTGTTTCTCTTCATGTGATGATTTTTGAGCCCAGGAACTTGGCCCTTTGCCAGAAGAAGCAGGGCCGTCAGGGCCTGAGGTCGAACAGCTGGTCGAACTCCGCAGGTTCGGGTGGACTCGTCGGACCTGATTGTGTTCGTTCGGGACGTGGTCGAGCTTGCGGCCACGTGGAATGGTGGTCCATCCAGAAATCGATGTCCACATGGATGGTCGAACGACCAAAACATCGACACCCCAAACACAAGTTTTCCAGCAGAACAGTCGACAGAGTTATTTAACACCTTACAAAATACAGGATCAGATGTTCCACCTTCACATGCATTGTTCTTTTCTTGGTTGAATCCGGGAAGGCAGCAACAGTGGGTCAACAACAACACTTGGTTGTTGACGGTATGAAGGTTTGCATAGTCCGGACCTACACTTGATCCAACATTGTACAAGCTGCCTCTGGGGCAAATGGCAAAGTTGGTGCATGGTGAGGTTTGTCAGTTTCTGCAGGTTCCGAACATTCAGGATCCAGGAACAACAAAACCAACCTAGGAACCCATCTAACATACCAAAACTTTTTGGACATTCAAAGTCCGACTGAAAGGATTCCACGCCAGGAAGGTATGAACTGGTCCAGATTCCAGACCATTCCGGTAGCATAAGACCAAAACAACTACTGCGACTCGGTAGCATGGCAATTACGGTGCCACCCCTTTGTTGGCTACCTTTTGAACCTTTGGTTCTGTTTTTGTTTCACAGTTCATTGATTCTGAACTTTTGGAGTCCCATCTTCGGTCGAAGAACCTCCACATCCGTCCACATCCCGGGTGATGGCAGTCGGGCTATTTGTCAATGATGTTTAGCAAGGGCCAAGGCCTTCAGCCACGCCCAGGCGTCGGAGATGCAGCCTCCTCCGCCTCAAGAGCTCTGGAGCTGGAGCCTTACAACGTGAAGGCTGGGGACCGAAAGATCACCCTAGGAAGGCCGTTCTTTCTAAGGACAGCACCTTCTTGGAAGGCCTCGGAATGCCACTCCTGAAAATGTTCGGGCGAACGGACACCAAGTCTTTGCAATGAGAGGAAACTAGGTCCTTTCTTTTCTTGAACGATTTTGAACTACCAACCTCAATTCATGAACTTGTAATACTTGTCCTATCAAAAAGAGTGGCAATGGCAAGCAGGGTTCTAGCAACTACAAGTACCATGGAGGTGTGGTGTCATGTTACTTCGATTGGGTTGGTTTGAGTTGTCAGGCTCAACTAGCTCGAGGTAAACAAGGTCAACAACTTACCATGTCCCTTAAATCGTCAGGTGCTTCTGAGATCTGAGAGATCCCGTTCTTTGTCAGTTCCCCTAAATCGTCGAGGGATCTATCAGATCTGAAGAAACGGCAGAGTTCCCTTGGCAGAGTTCCCTTTGTTTTCTCTGTTTTTTCGAGATCTGGATGATCTCTCGAGCGCAGTTTTACAAACGGTGCCAGGCTCGCTTCCTGAGGGGCTCCTGCCAGCCAGACGCCCGTGAGGCGATCGAGGATTTGGCCAAGGCGGGTGAGACGGGTCGAGTCTGGTGGAAGAGGGTATACGGGCCCCCTGGGTCCTTTGATGGGAGATGTGACGATGCATCTGATGTTGTCGATCTTCTTTCCCAACCCAAAAATGTGAAATCGAAGACATATGACCAACCAGGGCCATCCCATGGGGGACCCCATGCCCCATCCTTGGATGGTCCAGGGAGGCTTTTGTCAGCTGGGGCTGAGGAGGAAATCTGTTTTTAATATTTTTGGGCCAGCAGGCCAGGCCTGTCTTGGGTGAAGGTCCCTTGCGTTGACACCAGGATTACATGTTACCTGTAAGTCTCCGGGTCTTGGAATCACATGGTATCACCATACTAGACCACTTGTGCATCTCCATCCATTGAACTCCGCTACACCTGGTGCACAATTCAGTTTCTACACGCTGTCAGCGAGGCTCCCTTCTTGCTACATTCACCATCGTTCACTCCAGTTTGATCCAGACCAGGCATGAACAGTCCTTAGGTTCATAGAGTACTCATAGGCCCCAGATCCAAGAAGGAGCCCTTTGTGGTCCCAAGATGTTCCAAGTACTGTCCGAAGGTGGGCACAGGCTCCTGTCAGTCACCTAACCGAATGCCTCCAAGAAACCGAGTCCAAACGGATCTAGGGATGGAGCCTTAAACAGAGACCGATGAATTAAACGCAGCTCAACAAAAAGCGTTGCTGTTACTTACTGTGGATGGCCTCGGATTTTCCAATGTCCTTCGGCTTTCCTGGTGTTTTCTCGAGGCTTTCACCTTGGAGCCGACTCTAATGGAGGCGAAGCGCGAATGGTTGCTTCGGCGCAAGGCGGGAGGCTGAAAACGGCCCTTTCTTTTGACTGTAGGACTGCGTTTGACTCCACCAGACAGAGCGTTTTACAACCACATACTCCCAAGCAGATATGAGTTTGGTGAAAAGGCACCATATTCGGAATCGATATCTTGTTTTGTTGTGATTTTGAAGGTCAAACAAAAGAAATGTTGTTTGTTTGTGCGTGTGTTTGTGTGAGTGTTTTTTGTTCAACATACACAGCTGAGAAGATGGCGAAGATGGATAACTTTTTGCTACCTTGTTTGGGCGTGGAGTGGTGTAGGTCCAAAGGGCACGGCCATTGGACCATCATGACACACTGGAAAATACGTTGTAAGTTGCACCTGTCCAATGTAGCGCATCCCTCCTGAGCTTGACGTTTGTCGCACATGTTCCCGGAATATTACTGCAATAAAGAGGTGTATGATGGTGAATATTGGACCATCATGCGACACTGGACAATACATTCTTAGTTGCACCCGTCCAATGTAACGCATCCCTCCTGAGCTTGATGTGTGTCGTACATGTTCCCAGAATATTAAAGAGGTTTATGATGGTGAATGATGGTTTAATGAATGATGGTTTAATGAATGATGGAAAGCGAGTCCCAAAAACATGATCGCCCTTCAAACTACAGACGACTGGTCAGGGCGAGGACACCTGGACCAAGGTGCCATCGATCGTCCGGGGTGAGGGTTGGACACACATGGCCTAGATTGGGTGGTTGAAAAGGGGATCAATGTAGACATACATTGAGTGTTTGGGTTATGAAAAAGATTGGAATTTGCAAGCTTTCTTTACTGTGTTTTATGTTAGATATTGTTGCATATCATATCTGATACAAAGTTACATAGTATTAAAGTCTATCTATAAGTTGGCCGGGCCACTTCGTCCCAGTTGACATGGTCGTTTTCATTCGGTCTCGCCTGGTGCTTCAAGCCGCCCATCAGCCCGAAACTGGCCACTCCTCACATCCCGCTGTGTCAAAGGTGTGAGGATTCTGGTTCATGTGAAAAACAGGCGAAAAAAGTGCGAATCATCAAGGACAGGAGGAACCATGAGGAAACGTTTCGGGTCCTTTGCGCCAGAGTATCACCTTGATCGATGTTGCATCAGGGCGATCCGTGACCGGTGCATGGGGGGTGATCCGGTGCATTGGGGGTGATCCGGTGCTGATCTGGTGCTGATCCGGTGTTCCAAGACAGACCAAACGGGACTAGTTCGACTAGTTCGATGATCCTTCCAATTTCCTCAAACACTACCTGTGTTTGAAAGAAGAAGGGGGTGTTTCATGGAGATCTGAGATCCCTTTTTGGGGGCATGTAGGGGCTGGAAGCAGCCGGGTGACCCCTTCCATTTGGTGCTGGTAGATAGTATCTTGACACACGTTTTGCCAACATTATTGGAGCACCAAAAGACGTACCCGCTTTCACCGAAATGAATTTAACACATTCCGAAACATACGTAGAAACGACGTACATGAGTCATCTGGGTGGATGTTTCAGAGAGTTTCATGTTTAACCTTTCTTTGGATGGGTGAGCCCATTGGCTTAAAGCGAGTTGAAATACCAACCAGGTCAGACCGTTCGATCAGGTCATTTGTCCGACATGGTCGTCGTCCGGTGATTTTTCGCTGGGCGTTCTCCCGCTGTTTTCGTTGTCACGTGCCACATTGAGTCTTCAAGAAAAAACCGTGACCAGATGTTCTTTCTTGGAGACTATTAGTAAACTAATAGTTCCCAGATGTTGTTTCAAGCTTTGGACCCACTTTGGAGGATCGATGCATTTCAGGTTGGACTGGTGCACATTGCATCCCTTCAATCCCAATCCCCATTCTTGGAGGAAGCTGCATTCTCAGTTCTCATATTCTGCTTTCATGCAGAGTGGCCTTTGGAATCTTAATATATATATATACACACCCTTGCAGCCAAGTGATCCATTGTATTCTTTTCTCTTTGCGGTCTTTTTGCTTTGTGTTGTTTTTACAAGAGGTTTGACCCTTGCGCCCTCTCAACAATGTTACTGGCATGGTGATATCATGCACCTTCATACCACCAGCGCCAAAAACAGAGATTCGATAACCCAAAGACCCAGCGTCCAAGGTCGGGAACAGGTCACGGTAAATGGAGATCCCTCTTCCGACAGGCTGAAGTCTTGGCGATCATGGCAGATGTGACTCGTGTACAGCAGTGTGTCCAGGAGGCGCCCGAGGGAGCGATGGTGACTGGTGGAGCGATGTGTTGGGGGAGCGATTCAGTTTGATCCAGCAAATCTGGCGACTTTCGAAGCTATTTGGGCCAAAGGAACATGAAAAATGAACAGCCACCGGTTGAATCGTGTGTCCTTTGAAGGCACTCCAAACTCCAAACTCGCTGCTGAGACATTGAGAACGCAGCTGTTGACTGGCTTGATAGCCACCCGAAGCAACATCATTGGCACAAGCTACAAGGGCAGTTGCCCGTTGTGCAGAAATTGCTTAAACCAAATTTATCCACAGGCTTTCCAATGTGTTAAAGGGGACTGTACTGCCCACAGATGTCTTCTTCTTGATACATCTTTTAGAGATGTTTGTTCCTATACACTCTGATCACTAACATGGAAGTGGAGAATGGCCCCTTGGAAGACGACTTTCCTCTACAAACAGTGGGTTTTCCACTTCCATGTGGTGTGTTCGTTCGTTCGTGTATCGCCTTTTGGTGCGTCTCTTTCTTTGTTTACGAACCGACCGGTCGGTCTCCGACCGACCCGGACCGACGGCTCAGCGAGGCCGTGAGCCTCCTCGGTCAGACGCACCTCCAAAGCAGGCGCCGCCGAGAATCCGCCCGGAACGGAGCTCCCGTGATCCCGTGTGGATGGGGCGCTTGGGGGCAGACACCTTTCCCGGGGGCGTAGTGGCGTAGTGTTCGGTCAGTGGATGCCATGTCTTATTTCACCTCTGGGGGCCTGTTGGACGTTGGATCCAGGGTTGGGCAAGATGACTGACATTAGAAGGAAGTTGTTTTGGTGCTCCGATTCGAGTGATTTTCCCCAGATAGCGAGAGATATTGGGATTCTTGCTTCAAGTCTAGGAAAAGGTGCCTGTGTGCGCTTTGGAACCAGGGTGCTGGTGGCCACTGCCCTGGGGTCTATTCTGGTGCAATATGTTTTTTAGATGCTGCTGATATGCATTGGGCTGAGCCCCAGTGTTTCCGCTTCCGTGACGAAGAGTGCCAATGATGTACAACGGTGCCCCGTGTTGCGCCGCATTTTGAAAGACAGAGATCAGAGGGTGGTACTGTAGTTGTATTTTGGCCTGTACTTGTATGATACTCTCCCGGTTTTTTACGTATCCGTTTAAAGGCTTTTTCTTTTCTTTTTTGGTTAAGTTAGGTGACCTGGAAGGTCAGATCCATGAGCAGGACACGTTAGCGATTCAAAAGTTGTTTTTGCAAACATGTGATTTGGACAGGTTAGCTGCTTAGGGGTCTTTGGCTTGCAATGTCATCCTGGGAGTAAAAGCATTATCAAAAATCCTGGTGTGGGATACTGAGCGTTGGCAAGTGAAGTGCTGGTGTCCCGCAGAAGTGTGGCTCCCTTGCTTTGGTGTCTTGGTGGACATGTTTGCGCGGACAATGCTAACATGTCCGTTTACGAATTTAAGAAACCCTAAGATTTTGCAAAAAAAAGAGCTGACATAGCCCGTCACAAAAATGGGCATCTCTTCTGTGATGGGACAGGTTAGCAGTTTTTCGAGGCATGTTGGGTCATGTTCAAAATCATTACGATACCGGTTTCTCCGGTTATTCCCCAGAAAATACCGCTCTACAGCTGAACATGTTAGGGACTAGTCCCAAATGCACCCCGGGACACGTATATCTGAAAGAGTGCAAATGGCAGAAAAAGACATTTGACGTGAGAACACTTGACAAAAAAGGGATGCTCATAAACGCATTTAGTACCTCTTAGTATAAGTGGTGTATATACCGTGGATCCAGTTGCAGCTACTTAGAATGATGTCACCGGCCTGGATCCCACTTTGCAGTTGACTTCAAGTCAGTGGTTTTTGGCAGAATGACTATGAGGTTGTATAATAACCCCCCCAGTAAGCAGTTTAGTAGGATCAGTTCCGTACTGGCACCTATACCATGTCATGTTGAAAACCATCCATTCGGTAGGCACTGGGCGAACGGCAGGAACGGCTCGGCAGAATGGCTTCGGCTTCGTTCCTGCGAATCCTTTCGGATCCTCCGCGGCCAGGGAGAAGGAACCGCTGAGCTTGATGGAAGCGCATGAGCGCCTTGGAAAAAAACTGCGGTGACCCGCCGGAGGAATACGGAGACCAAGGTCATTTGCAATGGTACAAGCGGCCGTGAGCAAATCGAAGGAGGAGCAGTGGAACAGTTGGTGAGGTTCTTCTCAAGACATATGGTTGGTGTGTCCTGCAGATGTCCTTCCCAAGCTCTTCGTCGTTTCCGAGGCTCGTGCGCACGCAGGGCCTTCCCAAGGATCCCTTGAAGGAGAGCGGGGAAAAGTGAGGAGTGGGTCCAGTCTTGGAGGAATCCCGTTCGGGCAGCCCCAGAAGGTGAGACTCCCTGGTGGTAGACCCCCCTGGGCCCGGTGGATAGAGTAGACCCCCTGGCCACCCGAACCGCGGAACCTTCGGTAGGCGAGTCTCGAGCCGTAGACAAATGTAGAACCCCCTGTTTGGATTGAACAAACTCTTCAGGAGTCTATATACATGTTATTTAGAAGCATTGCAGATGATTGGCACTGGTGTTTGTGAATCCTCGCATGAGGCTTTTTGAGGTCATCATGTCAGGGTACAAGAAGGACCTGAAGCCACTGAATGAGCGGTGCAGGGGTCACAAAGATGCCCAGGTCAACAAGCTCAGCCAACTGTGGGCTTTCAGCCATGCTACAAACAATGAGATGCCCGATTCCCAACTCAATCAAACTCACCAGCTCTCGCTGGGCTCCAGCTTTCGTGACCGGTGGATTCCGCGTCTCGTTCCACAGAGCCTCGACCGGAGCCAACGGTAAGAGCCACGAGCTCGAGGACTATGGGCTTTCCACTGAGACCTTCCATGAGCTCCTAGGCACCTACCAGGTGCGGTGTCGAGATTGAAGACCGACGGTGTTCTGTTCGGCCAATCAGAGTGGTGTATGGAGTTGTAGCATGCAGATATGCAGGACATGACAGTACATTTCTTGGGATTGAAGACTGTATTCGGATCAATTTGCGACATCCCTTCCTGGCACCTATCCTGAGAACTCTAGCATGCTGACCAGCCCTGCAGATTGATGATCTCTACTGTCAAACATGCCAAATTGTGCAAAATGAGATTGCAGCCTACAGTGTGGTCAGTTGTTCCTGAAAGTATCCTTGAGAGGTCGTTGTCGAGTCAGGGAAGCTGGCAGGATGAACCAGAGGTGATTTTGAGAGCTCAGCAGATGATGCATCCACCAGGCGCGGTGCAGGTTCGGTGGTGATTTTGGAGACCACTCACGAGAGTCACGGCCGGGTCGGGTTAGCAAAAACATGTGGTAAAAGGCCGTGCCAGCAACAAAGCAAGAGTAGGGATTGATGATTTACATATATATATATATATGTGGATTCTGAATGATTCTGATATTTGTATGATATATATATACACTATACAATGGTGTAATATATATATATATATACTCATACATGGGTGTACAAAGTTTACAATTTGGATTGATGTCAGCTTCTATAGGACCTGCACTTGGGTCCATATATGGTCTTTTGATCCAAGACATTTCCGCACCACCCTGTGACCCTGTGGTTGTTTGGTGTGGCTAAGCATCACATGGTTCGCAGGTGCCTAGGCTCTTGCATGCTCTTGCAATTCTTTGCCATGTTGGATCCCTTGACTTCTATTTAATGCTGCAAGTTTGGACACTAGTTGAGGAGCTGCACATGTCAATGATGCTTTCTTCCTCAATTCATGGACGAACGGTTTCAACCTCAGGAAAGAACGAGAAGACTCAGTTGCTGCAGCGGGAAGGTGAGTGACTAAACTGCTACATCCTACCAAACACTGTCATGGAAGGACGGGGCGACCGTCAACGAGCACGACAAATGACAATCGAGCAGCTACTCAGTTGATGGGTGGGTGAGACTTGCATCTGCGGGAGCAAGGCTTGTACTGGGTGGGGCACACAGAAAACACCAGACTGCTTGTACCAAGACTGTTTCTGCTCAGACCTTTAATACTCGGTATATGAGACACAGATGACAAAGCTTGTATATACTCAGACTGCCTGTTGGCGGGCAGGTTATTTTTTTGTTGCATCCCACCTTCATGTCATCACACTGCTTTGAGTGGCCAAGGGAGAAGTGCATTTGATGGCGACCATTTCGGGAGTGATTCTGTTGCTCCATTCCCGGATGGGTGGGTGCCGGGTGGTATGCTTTGTGGCACAACCCTGTATTCAATAGTGGGCTCATTGAGAAGGCTATGCTAGGCAACACCCTCCTGAACTTGCAGTTTTGACTTGCTTTGGGTGTGGATATGCGTCTGCGTCAAGGCCATCGCTAGTCAGTAGGTTGGAGGCCATCGCTAGTAGGTTGGAGGCCATTGCTAGTAGGTTGGAGGCCATCACTAGTACATTCGGGGGCCATTGCTAGTAGGTTGGAGGCCATCACTAGTAGGTTGGTGTGTATATTTATATGCATTTGCGATCCTTCGCGTCAATCCAATTGGCCAACTCTGCTGCCGAAGTGTGCACCCTCAGGATTGTGCAAACACATGAGGCAGGGGCGAGACACGGCGCAGACACGGCGCTGAGTCCGGAGCAGGGAAATTCACTGCGTGTTTAGTTGTTCTATTGCGGGAAACACAAGGATCTATATAGCAAAACATCTGGCGGAATCATACTTTTGACATGCAAAACCAGTGGTGAACCCGATTCGTCAGCGACACTCCAGACATTGCTGAGCCTTGACCCAAATCGCCCAGACTACGCCCTTGAACCTGTTGGCGTCCGGGTAGGCGTGTAGCCAATAGTTCAACACTTCCCACCCTGTGGTCACCAATTGGATAACATTATGTTGTAGGTTGAGAGTAGATTGCACACATGTCCAAGCTTGATGGTTTATATGGATCACCATCCCAAAGAGATCTTCCCGGTGCCATCTACTCACTCTGAAGCTCAATAATACAATGACTATATGAAACATGTTGCTTGAAGGATCTTGAAAGCACCAACTAAGTAGTCTTTTCTTTGATACGGGGTTCCATGGTCCCCCTGGCAGGCCATGGGGGCTGTGCTTCGTCGGATGTTGGAGGAGCTTCGTGCCTTGGATCCAGCACAGCTGATGCGCCTGGAGCTACAGGCGCGACTGGGCCGGACTGTGGTTGGGAATGTCATCCCCAAGTGGATCCAAGGAACCAGCGTTTTGTAGTGACTCTAGGGTCTCCCAGTTTTTGTCATTGGAACCATTTAATAGCACCCTCCAACAGGTGCTTCCTGGTGCAGAAACCATCTGTGGTCGGGTCTCCTTCTTAGAGCCTGGCCCTGGTCGGGTCCTGGTATATACTTACACATATATAGTTACCTTTTAATTGGATCCACCGGATCCCCTAAGATCCTTCGGTGGCCCTAGCGGATCCGTTGCTCCAGGGAGGGAATCGACAAAACGGTGGCGCCAAAACGGTGGAGGGGAGAGCCCACATGGGCAGAAAGCATCCATGCAGCACCCAGCAGGCCCAACAGGCAGGGGTTTTCCCACATGTCTTCACCCTTTGGCCCCATTTTGTGGTGCTTGGATACGAAGGTCCCAGAGGTATCAGACCTAAACCCAGAACATCCATATATATATATATATATGCGATAGTTATATACACACTTACCCAATAAATTCTAATCACTCATGTAGGATAATGCATATACATATACCCTAGCCTTCCAGCGCCATAGCTACTATGGTCCTCCGGAAGGACCATTGCTACTTAGACCTACCTATCTATCCTGCCCCTGTGTGTTTGTCTCAGGTTGCCGCGCTGCATCTCAGGTTCAATGGGACCATGAGGAGGAACCAGAACACACAAAGCATACCAACCACATTGGTAATGTCGGTCCCCAATGGTGTAGACTCACATGAGCAACCTGAACATGGCACCCGCGTTGGACTAAATCGGATCTTGGCTGTGCAAACCAGGTGGTTCCAATGATCAATACAAAGCTAGTGAACCTTTTTATATCCTCGGGCAATGCACCACATGGCCGATGAAAAGAGCTCTTCGAAGACGTCTGGGCCTTGTATCAAAGAAAACCTAATGTGTTAGTTGAGTGATCCAACAGGTTCCTGGGTGGGGTATGCCCGTGGTTTGTGCAAGGTCAGCGGGAGGTCGAAGAGAGACCTCCTGGGTTCTTGGAGGATGAGTTGGTGGGTGGCAGAGGTGCCGTCCGTCCTACACTTTTTCACCTTTGTTCGCTGAAGTCGGTGTTGCACTGCTCGCACTGCAATTGCACGCAGTGAAGTTGAACGCAAATCTGCCGTGCGTGGCTGAAAGCTCAAGGACCGCAGCTCTTTTTTTTGGAGTTGGCATAGATCAGATCCATGCCGACCACAAGACCCAACATGGAGAGAGTGGCCGTTTTGGAGGTGCCATAGTTGTTTCCTTTGCACCTGAATGCCACAAAATACGCTAAAGGAGATACATGTAAAGGGAAAACAAATTGTTTATCTTGAAGGCGTTCTATGAGGAGTTCTTCAAGGATGATCCTGACTTTAGGAGGAAAAGGTTCCTAAAGCTCAGTGAAGCCGCTTCTATTCCACAAGATCGGGCGATTCGGGCTTTGAAAGATGGTAGAGCAACTTAACTAATCCAAACAGTCGACACACTTTGGCAATGCATTGCGCGTTCAACTCTGCACATGTCAGCCAGGACATGTGTGACATAGTGTGGCTCAGGTACCAGTGAAGTTCAGCTTTGTGGATGTTCTCAACAAAGTGGGTGAGGATGAGGCTCAACATTTTGTCATGCGTGAAATGAAACACTAAAACTGTTTTCTGATGTAATCCTTTTACTTGAAGCACCTGGAGGTGCAGAAGGATGGGAACTACGAGTTCACTCTTGCCTGGTTGGCATCCTTTGCTTCGGACCCACCAACTCATTTGGAAGCCACTGTTCCTGGGCCTCAAACATTGCAAAGAATCTAAGTCTAGATCGACTTAACACACACTGATTTCAACATCAATTCGAAGCATCTGGGAGCCTTAACCAGACCTGAGATTGCTCTCACGAAGATTGGCATCACTCACAAGCTCGTCTCCTTGACGGGCGACGCAGCTGATGATAAATCTCGCTTACGGGACCTGTATGTTTGAATGGGCTGCATAGTCATTGGTCACTTTGAAGTGTGTTTGTGAATTTAAAAAACACATTGATATCGTTGATATGGCGAAGTGGTATATGGCAGCATCATTGTCATATATCGACAGGACTGGGCGGATTCAGAAGCCGGGCTTCAAAGAGCTCTCCCATCATACGTCCATCGGCGCACGCGCAGAACATACAATTCGAGGACCCTAGAATGTTTATGCATGTGGATTGGTGCAATCGAATCTCGACCTGGGCTTCCCATGTGTGCATACTTCAGGAAGGGTGCTGAGAGAATGGATGCGCTCAAGAAAGTTGTGTTGGCAAACTTTGAGGTCGGAGTGGCATGTCAAGTGAAATATTTGTCCAAGTCATGCCCGTGATTTCGTGATTTCTATGTGTCAAATAGACTTTGAATAATGAAATCCAGGCCAATGGTATCAAAAAGCGCTCACGCTCTACGCGTAGTTTTCAGAAGACTACCCCGAAGAAGGACTCGGATGCTGATGCCCCAGGCAACACGCGAGTTTCCAAGTCAGCCATACTAGTTAGTCTTTTTGGGATCCAACCGGCCCAACCAGCCTTGCAGGTGACATTGGCAAGCAGGTTCAGAGCGCTGATCCAAGCCTCGGAGTTTCCCAGCAGGATGTACCCGACACAGCTGCTGGGCTTGGTGAGTCTGATCATGAAGTGATCACATATATCGAAGAAGAGGTTGAAGAGGAATCAGAAACAGATGATGAAATCATCCATGTCATCCCACACAACAACAGCAGTGTCATGGAAAACAAACCGGAAGAGTTACCACCCGTTGCATGTGTGGAGCCTGCAGCTACACACCCTGTGGAGAGAGTGGCTGCTGTTTCGCCTGTGGAGCCAGTGGCTGTTGATCCGGTTGCTGGTGTTTCGCCTGTGGAGCCAGTGGCTGTGGAGCCGGTGGCTGTTGTTTCGCCTGTGGAGCCAAAGGCTGTTCCACCTTTGGAGCCAATGGCTCCTGTGGAGCCAGTGGCTGTTTCGCCTGTGAAGCCAGTGTCTGCTTCACCTCTGGAACCCGTGGTTGTTCCACCTGTGGAGCCAGTGGCCGTTCCGCCTGTGGAGCCGAAGGCTGTTCCACCTGCAGAGGTCCCACGTTCTCCTTCATCGGATTCTGACAAAGAAGCCAAGAAGGGAGTTTTCCAGGCCGATTTTTGGGGTTGCTTCTAAGTTGTGCTGCATATGTGTGTGTGGTGGAGGAAAGGCAGTGTCGCATTGCAAATCAAATTGTGCTGGGTGGTGCGCTTCTTTGCACAGGACTCACATCCATGTTTGCCACTACCACCACAAGCCCCACAAGACCTCCGCGCCCAAGCTGAACGTTCTGTTGAAGACGTGGATCGATGTGGCAATGATTTGTCACACGATTTGATTAAGGTGCACTTGGGTTGAAACAGCTGTGAACAAAGTTTGTCTAAGAATGGAATGTTCTGGCAAAGGATCTCATGTTTGTTTGGGTCTAGTTGTCCTTTTGAGATTTCCAGGCCCAGGCCAAGATCCGGAAAGCGGCCAAGATTGCTGCCAACCCACCCAAGGCCAAGCCGAAAGCAAAATCCAAAGGCAAGGCTCGGACTGAACCGAATGGGCAAGAAGATGAGGATTACGATCCAGACCTGTCAGAGGAAGATGCTGCAATCAAAAATCAATTGCAGCGTGAATCATTGAAAGAATTGAAAAACGAGAAACCAGCAAACGCACTGGAAACACACGGGGGCGTGGAAGGGGAGGTGGAAAGTCTCGAGGGCGTGGTGCGCAGCTCCCTGCTGGTTCAGATGTGAAGCCAGTCCCACCCCCAGCTCCAGTGGACCCGCCTGTGACTGCTCCAGAACCACCAGTTTCCCCCAAGCCACGTGAGAATGTCAAGCGCAATCTACATGCTGATTTTCATGAAGTGGCTTCTGTAGCTTCAGCACCGGACCCTCCGAAGGAGACCTTTGGCGTGCAAAAACAAGCCTAACTAATTTGATTAAGATTTCGATTGATCGAGCTATGTGGGGTGTTTGTTTCTTTTGAACCCAAAATCATCTATGACAGGAGGAACCCGACCCCAAGAAGGCCAAGCCTGATGGTGGGTCTTCATCGGCCTGGCGAGCCAAGGCGACTGTAAGTGGTGGTTGGATGTGCAATTGGATGGTGTCCAAATGTCAGGTCCAACTCAAAAACATCGATGTGTTGCGGGACCTGAGCAGACTTGAGAAATCTTTCACGATGTGTTCAGAATCTACTTTGCTCGAGGGCAAAATGTGGGACTCTCAAAGGCTTTAAACAGTAATTTGTGATTTGTGAGCTACAAGTCATTGATCGATGGCCAATCATGTATGTCCGTGGCCTCCTCATGTTGAGGTCATGGACATTGAAGGCACCTGCCAACTTGGCCAATGGAAATATCAAGCAGTCGACCATTGGTGTGCTGCAGCGGTCTCAATTGGTTCTCGAGTCTGGAGTTTACATAATCCAATTGTTTTCCATGTTCAACTTAGGCTGGTTGGCAGTTTCTATGTCAGCCACCCTGATCCATTTTTGGTCGTTCTTGTGAACCTCCACAATGGCATCTGCTTGGAGGCTTGAAAAGAAAACAACAATCAGTCCGGAGAGTACTTAAGATCGTTGAATCGCCTTTCAGATTCTAAAAAAAGGTACTCAAACATTGAACATCATTGAACTGTTGTCACACGACCTTGTTAGGAGAACAATAATCATGCTTTGACGATCACCTGGAGCAAATTCCCATCTGTCTCGGATGCGCCTGTCTCTCGGATCGTGCCTAGTAGATCTGTGTGGGAAACCATGCGCGCGGCCTGAGGTGGAAGGTGGCAAAGCAGTTCGCAGGATGGGAGGATTTTGTCTTTGACTGGTCACTCATGGATTTTATGGCCATGTATGTCGAACCAGTTGATGCCGGAAACTAATTTGCTGTGCGCCTTTTATTTCAACATTTAGATGTTGATGTGTCAGTGTGGGTCTCGTTCAACTGTTC